TCCCTTGATAGTCCCAGGACCTGCTCTCCTGGACTGCAAAATCAGCCACTCCCCTCCTTTTGTTACAAAATGTCTACTTTTACATTTCCAGCCTTCACAGTCAGTCCTGATAGCAATTATTCACTATTGTACCACAAGAGTCTTATCCCCATCTCCTTTCATCAGCCTCGTCCAGATAGATTGGAAACCACTCAGTGGAGATTTTACCTTCCCCCATACCCTCTGGATCTAGGCTCCCTCTTGAAAGCTTATAAGCCAGCCACTTCTTGCCTTCGTTGGCCCCATTTTGGGTAGCCAATGTCTAAGTTGCCCATCCCTGTCAACCCTGTGTACCGCGGGGGTGGGAATGATCCTCACTGTAAAGATTTGTTCCCTTTTTTGATCTTCTATATCCATAAGTATGTTATTGTTGTTAAGTACCGTGGAGTCGGTTCCAACTCATAGGAACCCTGTACAGGGTTTCCGAGACTGTAAATCTTTACGGGAGCAGAATGCCTCATCTGTCTCCCACGGAACTGCTGGTAGTTTCGAACCACTGACCTTGAGGTTGGCAGCCCGACTCGTAACCACTACGCTACCAGAGCTCCTTTCCATAAGTATAATTCAAGTTAATCAAATTGTATCAGATTACTCTCTTTTTTCCTCTTCTTTCTTCTTCTAGTCAAGTTCTGGTTGAAGCCAGGTACAATCTGCAAGTATGGGGGTTCTTGTGCATCTCCCCTCACTTCATATCAGCTGGATGCTTCACTGTCCACTCTAGTCTTCTGTGGCCATGTCACTGTGTCTGGGCCAAGGTCCCCAGGTCTTGCCATACTGCTGGCCAACCAGATTTCCACCTGGGTTCACAGAGTCTATTGAACGTGGTGAGACCCAGCTCACAACTTCCTTGCTGTTTTTCCCCCACTGCCCCTTATCGGGGACCAATGTGGTCACCAGCCAGACTACATGCCTACTCGTGTAGTCTTAGTCTTCGAAGGGGGTTTGCCCTGAGGGAACCTGAACAGTTGCCTTGATGGCTCCCAGGCCATCAAGTAGTTCTTGTAGTACTCAAACGGACTGCCATTAATGTTATGGGTTTTTTTTCCTGCTCATCTTTCTTTCAAGAAGTATCTTCTATTCTTCTAACTGTTCCAGGCTGGTCTACTTGTGCTTTCTGAGGTGGAAATTTCCCACTTTGGAAAATTCTGGATGGGGTTCAAGATTCCACCTATGGTCTTATGCAATGCAAAGGCTCTGCAGGAAGCCTCCTTCACTGGGCAACTTCTAGCCCCATTTTAGGTATTCCAATCAGTTATAGGCTGAAGATGGACTTAACAGGTTTTCTATGGTGATGATTCTGGCTATTCCTTCCTTTCCCCTTCAAGTGTCTATTTTTAAATAGTAGGCAAGGGAAACTAAGATTCAAAAGACATCCATGCATCTTAACATTGTTTCCCCTCTTTAACCCATTCAAACCATGACTCAGTTCCTGTATCACAGAGCCCTGTTGTTCCAAGGTTGTGCATGCATCATTATTTACCTCTGTCTCACTTAGCCTTTGTAAACCTGCCTAACGTTTCTCCCATCCGCCTTGTTCTTTCATTCCTCTCCCCCTTCTTGTTTATTGCCCCCCCAACACCCAAGCTATCCTGTGTCTATTCCCTACCTCATCCTCTACCTTCCCCTTCCTCCCCTCACCCCACTCCATACATCCCGGTAACCAGCAGAGAATTTTTTCCCCTTTTAGTGTGGGTTCTTTTTCTTACTCTTTTACAATAATGGTCCTATGTAGTATTTCTCCTTTTGTTACTAATTTCACTCAGCATGATGTCCTTAAGGTTCATCCATGTTATGCGGTGGCTTGCAGCTTCCTTGTTATTAGAATATTCTTAATATCATGCTCTAAATGCAGAATTGCCTTATTTTGTACTGTTTCAAATGACATTGGCCAATTGATTGATGATAGAGGAAAATACTTTTGATATACAGAATTGGTTTGCTATTTATTTATTAGGGGGAGCCTTGAGGCACAGGATTGGATTGATCATAATTCTTAGTTAAGGAAAACATGCATCGATTACCACTTTTATGCAGTTAATAAAGTAAGCATTTAATTGGTAATTTTTAAATAACTTAATATGTATAGGAGAAGCTAGAACTTTGACAATAATCTACGTTGAATCTTGTGGTCACTATCCCAAGTAAGAATCATCTTGACTCTTATATTCATCCTTCCTTAACTTTCCATCTGACATCATTTCATATATGTACTCCTAAAATTATGGATTTTAAAAAACCTTTTATTATGAATTGAGTGAAGGTTTACAGATACAATCATCAGTTTTAAATTCAACAAATCACACACTTTGTTTCATCTCAATGATTGCAATCCCCTCCATGCAACAACAGTTATCTAACTTTCTCCCTGTGGCTCCTGTTTCCATTCCACCCACCTTCCCATTCCTTATCAACTTGTTCTTATGTAAATGTTGCCCTTTTGATTTTGTTGTTGTTAAGTGCTATCGAATCAGTTCCGACTCATAGTGACCCTGCATAGGGTTTTTGAGGAGCAGCTGGTGAGGGTGAACTTCCAACCTTGTGGTTCAAACCAACCTTGAGGTCCAGTGCTTTATCCTGCTGCGCCACACCAGGACATGATTGATTATTCCATGGTGAGTGTACGTTACTAATGTTGTCCTCCTATATACCTATCTACTGCTTGGCTGAAAATTGGGCCATGAGAGTAAGTTCCTCTCCAGACCTGAAGGGTAGTTGAAGGCCATAGTCTCAGATTCCTTCAATCCCTTTCTGACCAGTAAACCTAGTCTTTTTTTTTTTTTTAATTAAATAATTTTGAGTTTTGTTCCATTTTTTCCACTCTATCCTTTTAATGTGATCCCTTACAGAGCAGTTAGTAGTAGTAGCTGGGCAGCATCCAGTTCTTCTGGTCTCAGAGTCATGGAGACTGATGTTCACATGTTCCAATAGTCCAGTGAACTAATTGATTCCAAGCATCTTCAGTTCTCATTATTCTTCATTCTTCCACACATGGAGAGACCAATAGTTGCACCTTAGATGGCCACTCATGAGCTTTGATGATCCCACAGGCCCACAGGCTAATGTAGGATGTAGAATATTGTCTTTGTGGACTATGTTATACCAGTTGACCATGGTGTTTCCTTAGACCATGGTCCTAAGCCCCCAGGCTATGGATGTTTTTTATTATAGGTGTTTTAACATCGTAAAACTGGTGTTGCTTTATTCAGTACATAATCTTTTGGAACTTAGACATTTTTCATGGAATACTGTATTGATAAGTGTCATTTATATTTTTGTTTTGATATTAAAGGAGAAAAATCATATTTTATGTTTTTAATTAAGAGGAAGAAATGTATTATGACTGCTAAATCATATCTCAAGGATCCCTGGCAGCATAGTTGGCAATGAATTGGACTGCAAGCTGCAAGGTCAGCAGTTTGAGTCTACCAGCCACTTCACAGAAGAATGATGAGACTTGCTGCTCCTAAAGATTTATAGCCTCAGAAACCCTGTACACAGTCACTGTGAGTCAGAACCAACTCCATGACACACAGTCACCATCATCACTGTAACATATTTTACTGTGTATGCTGTTCCACAGGAGAAAGATGAGGCTTTCTGCTGTCGTAAAGATTTACAGCCTCGAAAACCCTGTACAGGGTTGCTATGAGTCGGAACTGACTCCATGGCACATACCCACTACCATGCCACTTTAGTCATCCAATCCCCAAAGGATGAGCATCCTCTCCCACAGTTGGTTTTATCAGGCTTTGAAAACTCTCATAGGGCATTGATATTTTACTGTAGTGTTGACTTGGATTTTCTTGATCACCAATACTACCGAACATTTCTTCATGTAATACTTAACTCTGTGTGTTTCTTCTTCTGTTTTTCTCTTGGATTGTTCATCCTATTTTGGTAACTTTTTGCCCCATCTTGAGTCACCATGGTATACTGGAATTATTACTACCATCATCATCATTCATATTAATCATCAGTTATCATGTTTAATGTTCCATCTTCTGCATGACAGTATGTGTAGGCAAATGACAGGATTAGAATGAATTCATCAGGTTCTGTTCAAAGACTCATTTAATTGCTCCAAGCAGTGAAACAATCTTTCCCTCCAGAAACCTGTGATTTAAAAGGTTTAAGATAGTTCTTCTAAAAGCACACAAGAAAAATTCACTCACTTTCCCTTAGCATCATCCCAGGTTGTCGTCTGTGATCAGTTGCCCACTCAGATTACTAAAGCTTTTGCTGTTCTCTCTGTTCTCTTTTTCAGTGCCTGACAAGGTCCAGGGAGTCAGTATTAGCAACTCAGCCAGGAGTGACTATTTAAAGGTATCCTGGGTACATGCCACTGGAGACTTTGATCACTATGAAGTCACCATTAAAAACAAAAACAACTTCATCCAAACCCAAAGCATTTCCAAGTTTGAAAATGAGTGTGTATTTGTTAAGCTAGTCCCCGGAAGGTTGTACAGTGTCACCGTTACAACAAAAAGTGGACAATATGAGGCCAGTGAACAAGGCAATGGGAGAACAAGTAAGTGGAATGACTGCAAAATCGATTGGCTGGTGGAACTTGAAGGCCACCAAGTAGCTATGTGCCTGAATCTAGAAATTCCTGTGCTGACTTATCAGTAAACTGCATGCCCAGTAACTTAGAGTTAACATCATTCTGCCAAGTTATGGCCTATAATTATAGAATATTCGTAAATAAAAGCAAGCATGGTAGGGGAGAACTAGATCAAACATCTCCTTTTTCTTCCTGTCCTCTTGTATTTTGGCATTTAAAATTCTCAACTTCTTGTTTAATCTGATGATTGTGACCATAACTCATCTCCTAATTATATTCTACCAACATTTAACATGTAAGAGTTATGTCAGGGGAAAAATTGCATTTTTAATAGTTGCTTCCAATTTTTCTTGTTTAATTATGCATGAAGTAGTTCAAGTGGCTTATTTTGGGGAAGCGAGATGTTTGCCAGTCTCTTGAATGTGATTCACAAGTTATTGTGCAGATGAACTCTAATCAGTTGCTTTCCTGAAGTACTCATATATTCTCACTTTCCTCCCTAGTCCCAGAGTCTGTTAAAAACTTAACACTGCAAAGTAGAAGCACTGAGGACTTGCAGGTGACTTGGATACGAGCTGATGGGGATGTCGACCAGTATGAGATCCAACTGCTCTTCAATGACATGAAAGTATTTCCTCCTTTTCACCTTGTAAATACTGCAACTGAGTATCGATTCACCTCCCTAACACCAGGGCGTCAGTATAAAATTCTTGTCTTGACGATCAGTGGAGATGTGCAACAGGCAGCCTTCATTGAGGGCTTAACGGGTAATTTGAAATCTGGTTTTTGAAATAGAATAGATTTAGTAGTCTATTTGATATACTGGATAGCCCAGACATTTTGATTGAAAATTTAGAGTCGTCTTGCAACAGAGACAGAATTATTTTAATTGTGGCAATGAAATTGTCTACGCTGGATCGGTAAAAGTATAAAGTATGATGTTGGGAGAAGGGGATGTTTTATGGAACAATATAGAGAAATAGCATTGAATTGATGTGATTAGCTGGTGTTTGTGAGGCATTCCGATTATGGATAAATAATTCTGTTGGTTGTGTATCACTTCTTAGAAACTCTCTTAGGAGTGTTGCTATCATAGTTTCTTCATGGCTTGCTACAAACCAAATTCAAAGCAAAACATTCTGTATGGCCTTTTGTTCAATTCACACAACTCCATTGTTATCCTTGCCATTTTTCTGATGAGGAAAAGGAAACTTCAAGAGGTTCATTAGTTTTCAGATCATCCCACAGCTAGTAAATCTAGAAATCAAAACTCGGACCAAGGCAGTCTAACCAGCTTTTAGTAACATTACTGTGTGGTCTTCATCTCTACTCAGTAACCTTGGTTTCCATCTAAACTTTCCCAACCAACTTCAGTGCAGGCAGAAAAGTCATAGAAAAATGGCAAATTGATAACTCTTTTTTTTCATGTGTATTCTTTCAGTAGGTGCCAAAATATAAGAAGCCAGGAAACTTTAGGTGAAAATGTTCATAGTTCATTCTCTAAGTGATGACTTTTAAATCTGTTGTTTTCTTTTAGTTCCCAGTGCTGTCAAAAATATTCACATCACTTCCATGGGGGCCACAGACAGCCTGACAGTGAAGTGGACGCCTGGTGGAGGAGATGTGGATTCCTACATTGTGTCAGCCTTCCGGCAGAATCAGAAGGTTGAGTCTCAGACCATACCCAAGCATGTCTATGAGCACACATTCCACAGACTGGAGGCTGGGGAGCAGTACCAGGTTGTGATTGCTTCCATCAGTGGATACCTGAGCAACCAGGTAGAGGCATTTGGGAGAACAGGTAAGCATCCACCTGGAGAAAAACCAAATTCCTTCATTGTTCTCCTATGATGGTGGCAATAAATGGACATAGTTATTTGTTCACACATCAAAAATATCCTAATTCAAAATATATAAATTTGTACAGTTCAATGGGGTTTCAAGAACCTTTCTCATAGTTTACATTTCATGTCTCTTAATAGTAGAGCTTTTCGAAACATTTAAATTTAGAATCCAAATCATTTCTACCAGCTTTGCACTTGCTGAAGAATATGTTGTTCTTAGTTGCCATTGAGTTAGCAAGCAAGTATTCTGTAACTGTAGTTTTCAAAAGTTCTCCATTTTTGGCAGAATTCCTTTTAAAAATAAAATATACACTTGTGCTATCTATTTTATGTATCATAACTAAATGAACAATTATCAAATGAATGATGTAACTGTTTATTAATATTCATATTAATATATTCTTTTCAAAACAAAAATAAGCTACAAGCAACTGCTATGTGCCAGACATTTTAAATTATCCTTAGCCACACTACAAGGTGTACATCATTGTCTCCGTCTTACAGATGAGAAAAGTAAGAAAATTTCATGAAACATTATGAAGGGTACATGAAATGAGACCTAGAACAATAGTTCAACTTTAAATCTGTCAGAATTCAAGCCCCATGCCCTCCGTACTGTGATGCAGTAGTTCTCAGTTGTCTTCCATTCTCATGACCACTCACTCAGTTGTGTGACTTGAAGCTTTTATACTGGTGTCCCTGGTAGCGCTGGTTGTGTCACCTAGTCAGTACCTAATCATAGCGACTCATGGGATTTCCAAGGTTGTAAATTTTTACGGGAACAGAAAGCTTCATCTTTCTCCCATGGAGTGACTGGTAGATTTGAACTACTGACCTTTTGATTAGCAGTCCAGCTCATAATCCACTATGCTTACAGGGCTTCTTACACTGTGTCCCTACTGTGCATCTATTACATACATGCATACACACACACACACACACACACAATTTCTATATTCTGACTTAGTGCTTAAAATAGGGTTTGGTATGTACCCAAATAATGCTTAGCACTATGTCAGAAGAACAGAATTCAGTAGTTAACAAGACATAGCTCCTGGCATAGTGGAGACAAAAAATTGAAAGGCAATTTCAGTGCTACATTGTTAAATGCTAAAATATAAGTAAGTATTGAGGGCTATGGGAACAGAAAGGAGAGCTGTTAGCATATTGGTTTATAAGTTGGGCTGTTAACCACAAGGTCAGCAGTTCAAGTCTACCAGCTGCTCTGCAAGAGAAAGATGTAGCTTTCTGCTCCAGTAAAGATCTACAGCTTGGTAAACTCTAAACAGGGTTGCTGTGAGTCAGAACCAGCTTCAAGGCACACAACCACCACCACCACCATGGAAGCGAAAAAGGATCCCTGGTGGTACAGTGGTAAAGCGTTCCACTGCTAACTGATTGACAGTACAAACCCACCAGCCACTCTGTGGGATAAAGACGTGGTAATCTGCTTCTGTAAAGATTTACAGCCTTGGACACCCATGGGGCAGTTCTACCCTGCCTTGTAGGGTCACTTTGAGTTAGAAGTGACTCAGTGGTTGTGGGAGTATATGAGCAAAAAACAAGAGCTAAGGAAGAATTTTAGGAGGCTGTAACTTTTAAACAGAGATGAAGAAGTTACTTAGGTGGAGTATACATTAATTTGGTTCCAGTAGATGAGCAAAACCTAGAGGTAAGAGAAAATGTAGCACATTTGATAACTTACATGCTATTTAATATGTTATAATAAAGACTGGGAGCCATTGGCCTGGTAAGTAAATGGACCAAATCACAAAAGGTCGTCTATGCCTTGTTAAGGTGTTTAGAATTATGTAGCGATAAGGAGCTCTGGTAGCGTAGTGGTTACGAATCGGGCTGCGAACCTTAAGGTCAGCGGTTCGAAACTACCAGCTGCTCTACGGGAGAAAGATGAGGCTTTCTACTCCCGTAAAGATTTACACCCTCGGAAACCCTATACAGGGTCGCTATGGGTTGGAACCGACTCGATGGCACATAACAACAACAGCAATAGGAAAGTGACATCAACATGAGGCTTCCAGGGAGTTATGCTGGATGCAACGTGGAGTTTGAAACAGTAGCGTCAAGAGACTGTCGCAGTAATGTATGTGAGAGATGGTGTTGTTGTAGGGTACTGTCAGTAGAGAAGAAAAGTGAATTCAGTTAAGATTTAGGAGAAAGGAATTATGAGACTCATGTTTGATTATGTCGAGAAGAATCTAAATTTCTGACTTTGACCATGAGCTATGAAGAAAGGGTCACAAGGCTGTTGCGGGAGGATTTGTTAGTTATCTTGTTGTTGTTGCTGTTGACCCAGCTCGGACTCATGGTGACCTTGTCTACAGCAGAAGTAATCCTTGCCCAATTCTATGCCATCTTCATGATCATTGGCACGTTTGAATCCGTTGTTGTGGTGATTGCGTCAATCCATCTGATTGAGGGTTGCCTTCATTTTCACTCACCTCCTGCTTTACCAGACATCATGTCCTTTTCTAGTGATTGGTCTTTCCTGATGACATGTCCAAAATCAGCAAGTTACAGTCATGTCATCTCATTTCTAAGGAGCATTCTGGCTGAGAGTTAGTCTAAGTGGGCCATCTTGTGTGTTAGGTATCTGTGGAATACCCATGACAGGATATCATTTGCAAAATCAGGAGAAACATAGGAAATGAAAGTTTGAGTTTGAGAGTCACCTCCCTCTGAGTGACATTTAAAACCATAGGAGTGAGTCGATGTGATCTCCTAAAGAGATGATTTTAAATGAGAAAAAGAACAGTTATTTTTCCTTTCATGTCAAGAGCCATTGTACAAATATTATTATACACTACTGCTTAGATTAAGACTTGAAGGTCTGAGTTAATCTTGGGAATGAAAATTTAAACAAAAAAAAATAACTCAGTCATATAAATTACCTTTGTTGTTGTTAAGTGCCATCGAGTCAGTTCTGACCTATAGTGACCCTGGATAGAGTTTCCGAGGAGCAGCTGGTGAGCGTGAACCACCAACCTTGCAGTTCAAACAGCTTTGCAGTCTGGCGCATTAACCCAAAGCACCACACCAGGACTCCCTACCTTTAGCAAGTATAAATTTGTTCAGCATTGTTCTTCTTTCTAAATATATACATGAACATCACTCTATGTTTTACTGTGCAACAGTGGTATCTTGTATATTGTTATGATGCTGAAATCTAGCCCATTCAGGTTTCAGCAGAATTTCCAATCTAAGGCTAGGAAGACAGGTCTAGTGATCTAACTCTGAAAATCAGCCAATGAAAACCCTATGTTGAACATGAGATCACCTTGAACCAGCGGTCAGTATGGCAGCAGCTGACAAACTCACTGATCAGTGACACTTTCACTAATCTTTCCACCTGTTTGATTACAAGATTCTGTCTAAATTCAGAGAAAAAAATGGAGAGTCAAAGTTGTTATATAGATAATTCAAGCCAAGAAATACTTGCTCCTTTATATTTCATAAAGGTAGACTAAAAGTGGCAATACAATACAAATAAACCAGGAGCATGATCATCTACCTGCAGATGATTCAGGAGTGACTTTCTCAATTGGTCCTTTTCTTTGAAGTTCCAGCACCTGTCCATGGAATAATTGCAGACAATGTCTACAGCAGCCATTCCTTAATAGTAAGTTGGCAAAAATCTGTTGGTGTGGCAGAAAGATATGATATCCTGCTTCTGAATGAAAATGGGATTCTTCTGAGAAACACATCAGAGCCAGCCACTGCTAAGCAACATAAATTTGAAGACCTAACACCAGGAAAGAAATACAAGATACAAATCTTAACTGTCAGTGGAAACCTTTTTAGCAAGGAAGCCCAAACTGAAGGCCGAACAGGTAAGTGGTACAGTTTATTGTTTTGTACAAGATAGCCCTTGTCTGCTATTTTTTAAGAACCACAGGGTCTTTGTTGTTGTGTTGTTAAGTGCCGTGGAGTCAATTCCAACCCGTCGCAACCCTGTATAGGGTTTTCAAGGAGGAGCTGATGAGCTTGAACCACCAACCTTGCGGTTCAAATGACTTTGCAGTCTGACACATTAGCCCACAGTGCCACCAGGACTCCACAGAGTCTTTGGGTGATAATATCTATTTCTTGCACAGTGAGACATTTACTGTGACTTATTACTCCCACCTCAGTCCATCTCTTCTGCCCAAACTTCAACCAACCCCACTCTGTTTCAGATTTATCATAAAAACTGGCTGTATTCGTTTCCTATTGCTGTTGTAATAAATAACTGCAAACTTATTTTTATTATCTTATGCTTCTTAAGTCAGAATATGAATATGGACCTTCCATAGCTAATATCAAGGTGTTGGCAGGCTAGCTTTGTCTGGAGGCTCTAGGGAAGAATCCATGCCTTGTCTTTTCCTGCTTCTCATAGCTGCCCACAATGCTTGGTGAACAGCCCCTTTGGGCAATGGCATCATTCTGATCCTGGCTTCTGCTATCCCATCTCCTTCTCTGATTTGTTTCCCTCCCTCTTTCTTCTTATGAGTACCCTCGTTAATTATATTCCATCCACCCAGATAGTCCCAGATAGTCTCCCTATCTCAAGATGTAAAGTAAATACCACAGATTCAGAGGATTAGGACATAGACATCTTGGAGGGCATATTCTGCATATCATACTGGCCACACTTATTTATTATCTAGGACTCAGGTTGATTGTCTAGTGAGGCTGATTGTCTAGTGAGGGAAACAGCACATACACAGACAATGATAATAATCCATTGTGATCTGATAGTATGTCAGAGAAATGTTCAACCTCCAGGACAGCATGAAGGTCAGGAGGAATTGGGATGTCTACATAAAAGTGATGTTTCAGTACTGTCATGAAGGTCACCAGTTCTCCATAGGAAGAGAAGGTAGAGACACTATCCTGGCAAAGGGTAGGGAGGTGTGAGAGACTATAGCCTATTGAAAGAACGGTGAGAAGTGGTGGGTAGTTAAAATGTGTGTTGCGTGAGGGAAAGTGAGGCTGGAAAGCCAGATTGGGACCAGATGAGAGTGCTTGGCATGCTTTACTCAGAAGTTACTTTTTTAATTTTGTGAACATAGGAAGGCAATAAACATTTTTCAGCCAGAGTGATTTTTTATAATAAAAATTTATGCCTTAAAAAGGATAAATCAGATGCCAATAGGGATGGTTTGGGTGGAAAAGAGACCAACAGTGGGGAGACATACTCATCAATTCATTATTCAGTATCTACTATATAGTAATCACCACTCATCTGTCAGTTTGTCCTACTGTGGTGGTTTATATGTTGCTGTGATGCTGGCAGCTATATCACCAGTATTTTAAATAGCAGCAGGGGCACCCATGGTGGACAGGTTTCAGCACAACTTCCAGACTAAGACAGACTGGTAAGAAGAAGTGACAGACCACTTCTAAAGGGTGGTTGTTGTGGTGGTTAGGTGCTGTTGAGCCGATTCCTACTCATAGAGAAATTAATGCACAGCAGAACAAAACACTTCCCAGTCCTGCACCATTCTCAGTTGTTGTTGTGTTTGAGCCCATTGCTGTAACTTTGCCAATCCATTTTGTTGGGGGCCTTCCTCTTTTTCATTGACCCTCCACTTTACACCAAGCCTGATGCCCTTCTCCGGGGACTTTTCCTTCTGATAACGTATCCAAAGTATAGGAGATGACGTCTCACTGTCCTGGCTTCCATGAAGCATTCTGACTGTAATTCTTACAACACAGATTTGTTTGTTCTTCTGGCAGTCCATGTCCATGGTACTTTTAATAATCTTTTCCAACACCATAAAAGATATGTTGGTTGGTTGGTTTTGTGCCGTGGAGTCGGTTCCGACTCAGAGCGACCCGGTACAGGGTTTCCAAGGCTGTAAATCTTTACGGGCGCAGAAAGCCTCATCTTTCTCCCACGGAATAGCTGGTAGTTTTGAACTGCTGACCTTGTGGTTCACAGCCCAATTCATAACCACTACATTAGAATTCATTTGTGTGAAGTTGTCCCCAGCTCATGATGACTTTGTATGTGTCAGAGTAGACCTGTGTTCCATAGTGCTTTCAAGAACTGATTATTGTAAAGTAGATCTCCACTGTTGTTGTTTTGTGTGTGTGTGCTTTTATGTAGTTTACATGTGCAGTTTATCATACACCAGTTACACCCCAGGAGTCCTGGTGTGGTGCTACAGGATAATGTACTTGACCACAAGGTCAGTTTAAACTGCAAAGTTCCAAGTTCAAACCTCACCAGCCACTCGTCAGCAACCCTATACAAGGTTGCTATGAGTTGGAACTGGCTCAACAGCACTTAACAACAAGTTATACCCCTAAAAACATACTTCAAGAATGTAAGTTGTTCACCTAAGACAGGCAGCGTCCCTTAAACAATCAATAAATAAGGAGGACTCAGATGCAGACAGTGCAGACCCGGTCAGGAGGCCAAGCCCCTGTGGGCCCAAGCGTTGTTGACCGTCCAAACCATAGGCTCTGAGGATCAGACTTTAGCCACCTAGTAGACATAGCAAACTGTCCCTCATCTGATTATTCAGTAATGCTTGTTAGTAATCTCATACATGAGCCCTGGATATCCACAGACAAATGTAAAAACCTCCCCTAAAAGCCGAGACTGTAAATTCCAAAAAGCCAAGTCCCCCCCCCCCCCACCAAAAAAAAAAAAAAAAAAGCTAAAGAGGATAGAGAGAAACACTGTAAACTGATGATATATGGCGGGGATAATAATCAATGTAATGAAACAAGCTATATGAATGGTTGAATGTGAAGCTGATGATGTGCCCTGTAAACTTTCACTCAATGCAAAATAAAAACATTTAATTAAAAAAAAAAAAAAAGAATGTAAGTTGTTTTTGTTTTGTTTTGTTTTTTATAAATAGAAGCATTCTACAAATCTATGTAATATGCTGAATATTAAAGATGAGTACTTTTGGGGGTAAATAATTAAATGAGTAAAGTGAAGGGGCTAGACAGACAGGATTGTAGACTTCATCATGCTGGAAGAGTCCCCAGACAGCATCTAACTATATGGCTGGGAGACCTGGAGAGCTTTTTTTAAAAACAAAACAACACAGCAACTGAGTCCCATTCCAGATGTGTTCAGTCAGACTCTCTGGGTGTGATGCCCTAATATTGTCTTTTTTCTTGTAAAAATATGTATGCAGCAAAACATTAGCCATTTCAATATTCTTCACATTAGTAATCCAAAGAAATTCTCACTTGTCTTATGGACTCCATAAAAAACAACTTTGCTAAAGGCCCTGAGGGGGACCTTATGTTTTAAAGTCAGAGTGTTTTATTTGTATAACATCAGCTTCTGGTACATCCCTCCAGTGAGTACTCCTGGGCTGTTAGGGATCTGCCAAAATTTAGCCTCATTTTCTTGCCCTTTGATGTTTCCAGTCCCAGCAGCTGTTACCAATCTAAAGATCACAGAGAATTCCACAAGACACCTGTCCTTCAGTTGGACCACCTCAGAGGGAGAGCTGAACTGGTACAACATCTTTCTGTACAACCCAGACCGAACTCTTCAGGAGAGAGCTCAAGTTGACCGACAAGTTCAGAGTTTCTCTTTCCAGAACTTGCTACAAGGCCGAATGTACAAAATGGTGATTGTAACTCACAGTGGAGAGCTGTCTAATGAGTCTTTCATATCTGGGAGAACAGGTAAGACCCAGAACCAAGCAATAATGAATAGCAAGGTAACTTGTGACATGTTGTGATATTCCCTGGCTTTTCATTAATTTGTCCTTAGCTCCCTATTGTATTACAGTGTATAGCTTCACATGAAATCTGTCACCTTCAGGCTTTGAGGCCCTAAATCAGAGCTTTAGTTAGATACAAGAATAGTCTGGCATGTTTTGACACTGGCTTCTACACATTTGCCTCTACCTGCATGGAGTCCTTGGGTGAGGCAAACAGTTAAAACGTTTGACCACTAATCAAAAGCATGGTGGTTTGAATCCACACAGAGTAACTTCAAAAGAAAGGCATGGGGATCTGCTTTCTCAAGGTCACATCTTTGAAAACCCCGTAGAGCACTTCTATTTGGCCACACATGGGGCCACCCATGCAACCTACCAGCAACAGGTTTGGTTTGGTGTTTTTGTTTGCCTCATGGGATTTGAGGAAATGAATCTGGCTACTCTACTTGCTGGCTAAAAGAGGACTGTCACTCACTGTGGCTGGATCCACACATGGCCTTCAGATTTCTACAAGGAATGGATGGAGTGGAGGTTGTTGTCGTTGTTATGTGCTGTGGAGTCGGTTCCTACTCATAGCGACCTAGTACAGGGTTTCCGAGGCTGTAAATCTTTACGGGAGCAGAAAGCCTCATCTTTCTCCCGTGGAACAGCTGGTAGTTTCAAACTGATAACCCTGAGGTTATCAATTCGTAACCACTACAGTACCAGAGCGGCTTCAAGAAAAGTAGCCACAAACAAATTAGACAAACAGGAACCATTGCTGAAAACTGGAAACATAACACTTATGAAATGAAAACAATGGATTCTAGATAAATCTCTCTGGGCTACAAATAAGAAACTGAATTTACTCTTTTTCCATCATTTGGGCTCTTCAGTCTCATTTTTGTATTCCATTTTCTCTCATCTGACAGTGATTTGGGGGCTCTTCTGCCCAGCCCAGACACTAGGCTCACTGCCAGAAGACAAGACATCTGACCTCCTGGCACTCAACACTCAGGGAGGGAAAGGGGCAGAACCAGACCATATTAAATAGGCAGAATTTTAAAAGATGATTTCTTTCCTCCTGTGGGTTACTGCACTGGACTGCAAAGTCAGTTTGAACCGAAAGGTCGGCAGTTCAAGCTTACCATCTGCTCCTCGGAAACCCTACACAGGGTTGCTATGGGTTCGAAGTGACTTGACAGCACTAAACAACAACAACATCAAGGAGACAGGAGGCTAAGCACTGGACTACTAACCGACAGGTTGGCGGTTCAAACCCACCAACTGCTCCTTGGAAACCACATACAGGGTTACTTGCTATGAATGAGAATCAACTCAACAGCACTTAGCCAAAATCAATCAAGGAAATCGCCCTAGGTATGCATTTGGCTGCTGGCCACAAGGTTGGCAGTTCTTACTCAACAGCCATTTTGTGAGAGAATGATGTGACTGTCTGCTTCCATAAACATTATAGTCTTGGCGACTTCATGCAGCAGTTGTACTCTGTCCTACAATGTAACCATGAGCTGGAATCAACTTGACTGCAGTGGGGATGGGTATCAAAGAAATAGAGTGTGTGACAAAGAGTGGCTTAAAGGGAAGATGTTTTAGCTGAGACTGAAGGTGAGGGGGAGCTATTGAAGAGCACATTCTGGTCACGAAACAGAATTTCTCTAGTCTCCTGTATTTTGAAGGGAATGAAAAGGAGCAGCAATCAGCATAGGCCATGAAGACAGTTGCCTATGTTACCATCTCCCTGGCAGCCTACCCTCTGAAACCCATCCCTTCCCTACTTAGTTATTAACACTAAAGTTTCCTATAATAAGGTGCGATTGTTTTCACTTTCCAAAAAAACAAGGCAGGTGGCAACGTACTAAATTTATACAATAGGAAGGGACTTCTTTCTCCAGGGAAGTTGGACCAATATGGATTTTGATGAGAAAGAGCACGAAAACCAAAAGGGAAATGTTCTTCTTGTTAAAGTGCCACCGAGTAGGTTCTGACACATAGCAACCCTGTATAGGGCTTCTGCGGAGCAGCTGGTGAGCTTGAACCGCTGAGTTTGCCATTCAAACCAACTTTGCAATCCAGTGCATTAACCCACGGTGCCCCCCCAGGACTCTTAAAGGAGGATAAAAAGGAAGTACAGAGATCCAGAGAGGGCTATTACGGGATGGTGGCCACAAGTGAGATGGGCCAGCCTGGGAGGGACTAGGGCCTTTTCTGAACTTTACTAGGACCTTTTATAAATTTATACTTTTTAACCAGTAGTAATTTTTCATTTCTAAAGATTTCATTTTATATGTCTGGCAGTGGACATGTAACAAGCATCACAAGTCACTTTATTGTTGTTTCAATTCACACTACATCTCAAGAGATGAGCACATGCCCCTAAACTTAAGTAGCCTAAAATATAGGCAAGCACTGACTTTACTATATGTACTTTATTGTTGTTTTCTGTTAAGTGACATATAGTCGGTTCCAACTCATAGCATCATTGTATAGGGTGTCTGTCCAAGGAGCAGTTGGTGAGTTTGAACAATTCAGTGCTTACCCTACAGTGTCACACCAGGACTACTCCCCTATACAATGAAATTAACTCATATTCCACGTGTGGGCCCAAATGCCTTTGTTCCTGTTTTGTTCTCAGTAAAGGTTTTCATTCCATTTAAGTCCCAGCCACTGTGAGCAACCTCAAGGGGTCCAATCGGAACATGACAGACAGCCTCTGGTTCAGCTGGAGTCCAGCCTCTGGGGACTTTGACTTCTATGAGCTGATTCTCTACAATCCCAATGGTACAATGAAGGAAAGCTGGAAGGATAAGCACCTAACCGAGTGGCGTTTTCACCGCCTCATTCCTGGAAGGAAGTATACCCTGCGTGTGGTAACTCACAGTGGAGAGCTTACCAATAAGATCACAGGAGAAGGCAGAACGGGTAAGACGCCAATTTCCAATAGCCAAATGTTGGTAGGAAGTGCCTTCTAATGACATACCTTAATTATTATTTTAGTGACAAGAAATATGTGCCAGCCCTGAGCTTGGGAAGGCATAGTGGCACAATGGATAAAGGACACAGACTTTGGTCAAAAGATCTGTGTGCTTATCTAGCCCTGTCACGCACCTGTGTGGAGCTGGGAAAGCTACTTAGCATCTCGAAGCCACAGCATCTTCATCTGCAGTGCAAGGGTAGCCATACCCATCATCCTTGTGTTGTTATAAGCAACACTTCCTAATCACTTTTATATCTTGGGCATGCATGGTGCTGGTGGTGGTTGTGTGCCATCAAGTCAGTTCCAACTCATAGGAACCCTGGATAGGGTTTCTGAGGCTATAAATCTTTATGGGAGCAGAAAGCCTCATCTTTCTTCCACAGAGCAGCTGGTGGATTGGAACTGCTCATCCTGCAGTTAGCAGCCCAAAGCATAACCCACTGTACTACCAGGGCTCCTTTTGGGCATGTGTAGATAGTATTAATATCTATAGTTGAATTGTATGCTGCAATGAAAAAGACTTATGCAACTAGATATAATTGTCTGGGAACTCCAACCCTACCAACCTCCATATCTGTTGAAACCAATACCTTCATATACTTGTTACCCACCCCACTCTGCTTAGGAGAAGTAAAGACAAAGTACACAAAATACCTAAGGATTGTTCCTTACCCTTAATAAACATTCTACAAATGGAAGTTCCTATTAGTGTCATATTTTCTCTTCCTACAAAGTACGTTAGCAGTATATCTGATGTTGCTCAGTCATCTTTATTTTCTATGTTATGATCTAGATACAATTTTTCCCTTCCTCCTATGTATAGCCCCAAGTCCTCCTAGCCTTATGTCATTTGCTGATGTTGCAAACACATCCCTGGCTATCACCTGGAAGGTGCCCCCAGACTGGACAGACTACGATGACTTCGAGCTACAGTGGTTCCCCAGAGATGCACTCACTGTCTTCAACCCCTACAGCAATAAAAAATCAGAAGGACGCATTGTAAATAGTCTTCGTCCAGGAAGATCCTATCAATTCAGTGTCAAGACTGTCAGCGGTGATTCCTGGAAAACCTACAGCAAGCCAATTTTTGGATCTGTGAGGACAAGTATGACATGCTTTGTCACTCTTGGGTTCCAGAGGGAGTACATAGGAAGTGTATGCAACATCTTATTCTTGGTTTAAATCCACATTTTTACTTGGGATTAGTTGGATTTGAATTCAGGCTATCAAGACTTAGTCATTTAACTTTTACAACAATTAACAGTACAGAAATAAACTCTGCCTTCATGGAACTTACAATGAGGTGGGAGATGATATGATTAAACAGTTACATTGGGGTATGGTGAATAAGTTAATGGTATTGCTGAGAATGGCTGGTGAACTTGACCCACCAAGCTTGCCGCTCAGCCTGACCTTGCAGTTCAGCACATCACTTTGCAGCGCCATTACATTGATGGTGGCGATGGTTAGGTGGTGGTAATGGTTATATGCCATACAGTCGTTTCCGACTCACAATGAACCTGTATAGGGTTTCCGAGTTTGTAAATCTCTACAGAAAGCTCTTTCTCCTGGTAGTTTCGAACTGATGACCCTGAGGTTAGCAGCCCGACTCATAACCACTATGCTGCTAGAGATCCTTAGAACTATTTGGTAGATTCATCTAATTCAATTCAAGGGGACTTCCTGAAAAAAGAAACATCCAAATTAAAAAAAAAAAAAAAAAAAAAAACAACATCCTTCAATATTCTTTATTTCTCTTTTCTCCTTACACACGCAGCTAAAAGACAAT